TTTCATGTTGCTACTCAAAGGCTGAAGAAAAGAATCATCTATTGCTTGAGAAAAGAGAAGGAATACATGGCTATTTATAGGGCTTCTAAACCCTAACTCCTAATAGGACTCCTACTTAAGACTCTTACTTCTAACCAACTCCTAATAGGACTCCTACTCAAGACTCCTATTCCCTTACAACTCCTAATTCTTCTCTAAGAAAAAACCTCCTACATGAATGTCTCTCTCAATTAGGACTCTCCTAACTAGAGTCCTAACAGAATGTCCCTCTCAATTAGGACTCTCCTAGCTAGAGTCCTAACAGAATGTCCCTCTCAATTAGGACTCTCATAGCTAAAGTCCTAACAGTTTTACATGAATGTCCCTCTCAATTAGGACTCTCCTAGCTAGAGTCCTAACAAATACCTCTCTCTTGGAAAGAGCTTGCAGCCCCTTCTCGCTCATGTGTCCCAGTCGCTTATGCCACAACTCCATACTGAAGTCTTTTTCTATAGCATTAACTGCTCACCATAATCTTTAGCCTGCAGCCTGTACAAAGTATGATATTAATAAGAAAACTCTTACTAAGCTTCCATTGCCCTATGTGAAATCTGCTATCATAGTCTTCATCATCTAGCCTTCCAACTGAAATTAAATTCAGGCTCAAGTTAACCACATGCCTCACATCCTTAAGTACCAACTTGTAGCCAAGGTTGATCTTTAAATGAATATCACCCATGCCTATGATGTCTGTTGTGCCATAGTTGCCCATCTTGACAACACCAAAATTTTCAGACCTGTATGTAACAAAAAACTCCCTCCGTGGTGTAGCATGATAAGAAGCACCTGTGTCAATCACCCACTCAAGATCCTGACACACATAAGAAAAAATATCATCAGAAGGAGATAAAATCAAATAATCACCACCCTGCATTGTAGCTGTGATATTATCTTTCGACTATGTAGACTCCACTTCTTTTCCCTTTTTCTTGCTCTTCTTAGATTGCTTACATTGGTTCTTATAATATCCTTTCTCACCACAATTATAGCAAACAATATCTTTTCTTGATCTTGACTTGCTCCTACTCATGCGTGAACTGCTTCTAGACTTTGACCTTCCTCTGTTATCTGAGATAAGTGTCTGTGAATCATTCTGAGATGTTGCTGAACTCTTTCTTCTCAACTCCTCATTCAACAAACTGTTTGTTACTTGACTCATAGTGACAACACCATCTAGCGTAGAATTACTGAGGGAAACCACTAGTGTCTCCTAATTTTCTAGTAATGAACTAAGAAGTAACAATGCCTGCAACTCATCATCAAGAGACATTTTTATAGAGGATAACTGGTTAGTAATACTTTGCATTTCATTCAAATGCTCAGTAAATGAAGCACCTTCTCTATATTTTAGATTCACAAGTTTTCTAATAAAAAAAAATTTATTGTCAGCTATTTTTCTTTCATAGAGATTTTTTAACTTTTTCCAAAGAGAATACACAGAAGATTCAGTAGAAACATGGTGAATGACACTATCATCAAGCCACTATCGAATAAATCCAATTGTTTTTCGATCTAACCTCTTCCACTCATCATCTGTCATAGTTGTGGGTTTTGCACTATCCCCCTACAAAGGTCCAAACAAATCTTTGCAATACAAGAGATCTTCCATTCTTTGTTTTCATATCATCCAATTGTTTCCATTTAAACTAATCATGCAAGAAACATTACTGGCCTCCATGTTCAAATACAAAAATTAAATCACCAAAACCCCTTTCTCTGATACTAGTTGATGGGATATAATGTGGAATAACCTTTGTATATGAACAAATACTAGCAGGCCATGATATGCAGTGGAATTAAATGAAATCACAATCAAATAGAACACAAATATATATGTGGAAAACCTCTCTAATGTGAAGGGTAAAAACCACGGGACAAACTAGAGATAATCCACTATGAGAATAATGAATATACAAATCTTAATCTCTTGCCCTAAACCCTAGCGACAATCTCAAGAGAATAACTGGGATACAAGGATCATGTCACTGTTCACAATATCTAAAACTCTATAAGTAATCACAGCAAGAGTCTACTGTAGATTTGATCTAACCTGAGATGAGAATACTACTAGATGATTGAGAATAGTCTCTCTGTGTTATCATTGTTTTCTTCCCTTTCTTTCTCTTATTTTTCTGTCTTTTTCTTCTCCTCATTTCTGCTGCAAGGATCACCACGTTGTTGCCCTTTTTGACCCAAAAAACATAGCCACCTTCGCACCAAAACGCAGCCACCACACTCCCCTTATATTGATCTAGGGTTAGGTTAAGAGGGGGTATAGGCTGTGGGTTGATAAAGCCCACATTGGGCTGAATATGGGTTGTCAGCCCAACGATAGGCAGTGGTACCGCCCAGCACAGGTGATGGTACCGCTAGGACCGGGAAAACCTATGATAAGACCTTTTTGACTCTATTTTTGAAGTCATTTGAGGTCTATAAATACTTTAGTTATTTCTGTATAGAGATATAAGAATTGAGTAAGAAACAATTCTAAGTTAAAAAAATATTGTAATCTCTCTAAGTTTAGTGGTCTCTTCCTCCTAGATTTAGAAGGTTTCTATGGGAGGAGTGAGGTTTACAAAAAAGAGAGGTGTAAAACCCAAACCTCTTAGATTAGTGGGTCTCTATCCAATAATATCTTATTAGCTCTTATTGGATCTTATCCATAGGATCTAATAATTCATATACTTATATTGGATATCCAATAAGATAGGGGTTCCAGCGAATATCTCATTATTAGGACCAAAATCGACACTAAGAGAAAGGGTGAATTAGTGCTTACGATAAAAACATCGATTTTGAAAAATTACATTCGATGAAAATCGATATCGGAAAAAGAGTGCTTGAGTTTAAGTAAGTGAACTAAGCAATTAACTCAGAAAATAATAGCAATGATAATGAAAAGCAGAATAGAAATTGCACGCCGAGTTTATAGTGGTTCGATCGTCGTGACTTACATCCATTTCCGATTCCTCTTCACGCGAGGCCACCGACTTCCACTATCGATCTTATTTCAATGGACGAAGATCAACTATCTTTATAACTCTTTCTCCTTTTCGCAAACTCACGAGAGAACCTAGTTGGATGGAGATCTGATACCCAATATGGTAGGATCCATTAGGGTTAATTTGATAGCGGGCCTCTATAAATAAGAGAGAATCATAGACCTTTTAGTTGCCTCATCCTATTCTCCTCTCTCCCTCTCCTTCTCATACTAAGTGGAGAGCATCTTCGCAGCCCATATCATATGGATTACCGCTAAATAGGAGGACAATTGACAAAAAATTTTAGGGATATATTCATATATAAAAAAAAGAAAAATGATAATTGGTTTTGCAGACATGATAACATTTGAATAACTTTGGTAGGTGCGACACTAATTAAACACTTCATTTAAGTTGGTGGCTTTTTCTAAGAAATCAAATTTTGTGTGTTCATTTGTTTGAAGGTCAATAACCAATTACAAATTGATCGTAAGATGAATTAAATAAACATGATATTTAGATAAACTATATCTAACTAATCCAATCAAGTGTGAGAAAACAAGGCGAATAGGGTGGCATGATGTGAATGAGCTTTAGATTATTAGCTGCAATTATATGATGTTTACTAAAGAAGTCTGCTATATTTAATTTTTAATAGTCAGTAATTCATTTTTTTGTTTTGTTTACTCTTTTCTTTTATTCTCAGCATAAACTCGTATCAACTACAGCTTCTTTCTTCGTCCTACGGCCGCTTCACTTTTCTCTGCGGGCGAGTCCTCAAGAAGGAGAGGAATTTGGAAGGGTTATGAGTCGAAGCGAGCGATGCCGAAATCGCCCAAGGTCTTCCGCACTGGCCCGCTGCCGTCCCCTCTGCTCTCCCGCTTCCGGCGCATCTCCTCCTCCTCCTCCTCCTCCGTTTTCTCCCTCTTTTGCCTGATCTTTGGCCTCGCCGGATTCCTCTTCGGTGCCATCTCCATATCCAGGCCCGCCCGCAGCTGCCCCGGTCTCGAGCCCAGGTCGGTCTCCGTCGTGTGGGACCGCGGCGGCGGGACCGGTAGCGGGACGCCGGAGCGGCACAAGGTGATGGCTTTCGTTGGGATCCAGACGGGGTTCGGATCCGTCGGCCGGCGCAGATCTATCAGGCAGACGTGGTTGCCCTCCGATCGCCCAGGTCTCCTTCGGTCAGTCCTGGTTTCGTTCTTGGGCTCGATTCGTTCAATTTTGCTGCTCCCGTTTCTCATCATCTGAACAACGCCATCGGATATTGTCAAGATCTGGTTTTGGTTGGATCTTTGAATTAGTTCCTGCTGTTTTATGGTTCTCTTACATGAATGTTCTTGTTTTGATGCGATCTTGTGGTCGGTTTCGAAATTTAGGCGTGCTGCTGTTGCATTTTTTGCCCTATAGTTCTGAACCGAGTAATTGGTATCGCAGCTTGGAAGAAGCGACCGGTTTGGCTTTTAGATTTATTATCGGGAAGACCAAAGATAAATCGAAAATGGCGGCGCTTCAACGAGAGGTGGATGAATACGACGATTTCATGCTTTTAGATATCGAGGAAGAGTACAGCAATCTTCCACATAAAACGTATGAGATGCACCATACACTTAGCCATGCGCGAGTGTTTGTGTTGTTTCTGCTATTGGTTTGTCCAAACCGTCATCTAATCTTGTGTTGCAGGTTAGTTTTCTTCAAAGCAGCCTTTGCATTATATGATTCCGATTTCTACGTTAAAGCTGATGACGACATTTATCTAAGGCCAGGTGATGTGTCTTTGGATCTTATCATTTGTTTCTCTTGAACTTTTGATTGTTGACAGATTCTTTACTTTGTTTTAGATCGTCTCTCACTGCTTCTGGCAAAAGATCGACCAAACCCTCAAACTTATCTTGGATGCATGAAGAAGGGGCCTGTATTTACTGACCCAAACCTCAAATGGTTAGTATTTCTGTGAGCTACACAATGCTATGGTGCTTATATTTTACTCCGCTTAAGATTCAGGTCCACAAAAATGCCATGTGATGAAAACATAAAATGTTGTGATTAAGGGACGGAAAAGCAAAAGGTGATGAGGTGAAGCGATAGTTCTAACTCAGAAGGATCCCAAGTTTCAAGACCATTGTTCTCAAGCAATCTGATCAACATTTCACCTTCTTCAACTTATATACATGCGTAGACAGAAATGTAACATAAAATAGCAGTCAAAATAAAGGAAACTATTTTACCAGCAGAGACCTGCATAAAGTGTACTGTTTTTTAACATAAAAGTAAAGATAAAATGGCCTTCACATTGTAGGTGTCCGTGAAACCCTAGGTTTTTTAGGATGCTATCCAATAAGATATTTTAGAACTGTGACTTCATCAAACTCAACCTGACCACAGCTTGAGCTCAGGATGGTTCTTAATTTGGGTAATTATAGGGGTGGTCACATGTTATCTTACTTTTGCAAACTTGACTAACCGTAACTCCTCTATAGCCAAATATATAGTTTGCAAAGAGCTCATATTGGTGTATTCCCACATAATATACCATCCCATACCACTCAGTGTCAAACGGGGAAAAAAAAAACAATATGCTGACTGATACTGGTCCTGGATCAAATTCATATATAACAGCTGATCAAACCAACTGATATTTTGAAATCATGCTTAATCCAAGCTTGTACCATACTGAGCCCAAGCTGTTTACAAACAATTGAGGCAATTGAAATCTTTCAACTATTGCCTGTTCTCTGTAATGATATCAGCATGTATATCTTGTATGGGTTTACGCTTTATGCTAAGACTGGGTGTTTGAATTTGGAGGCTAAGTTTATTTTTCTGGTACATCTTTCAAATGTTTGCTTAATCCGATTGGTTCAGTTTTGCAGTTCTGTGATATGCATCTCCCATAGAACTCCAATATTGTAAAATTTAATATTATCTACAAATATAGTAAAATTCTGGCTGATACTTGAGTATATATTTGGGAACTCAATAGGTATGAACCACTAGCATACTTGCTCGGGAAGGAATATTTTCTTCATGCTTATGGCCCTATATATGCACTTTCAGCAGATGTAGTTTCAAGCTTGGTTGCACTGAGAAACGACAGGTAAACTACAAAATCTTGATGCTCAGAACTTTGTTACTTTAATTTCTGATCGATAAAGAAATTTAACAATTATAACTATCTCTTTATATCATTTAATACTAATTTTTTCATTGTTTCTCTATGTTGAGGTCCAGATAATGTGTTTTGTATTCTTCAGCACGAAGGAATTTTCGTTCCTTCCTGTCAATGCACAATATAACCTTCTTTTATTACGAGTGCTTTTGGTTTTCTCATTCAAGTGACTTGATTGACCTTACTATTGTTCATCATGAAGCAATGCTCAAATCTTATTTTCTTAATCCATGAGCAAACGTGGCTTCTCTTCCTAGGGGTGTACTAAGTGAAGGCATAAGGCTTATGTATTGTTCGTGATATATGTCAACTCGTGGCTTGGTCTATTTGTTTATACTTGGTTAGATTACTTGGGATATGGAAGCTTTTTATCTTGATCTGTTTCTTAGGGAAGGGTTTCAGATAGGAGATGAGTTTTGCTGAATTTCTCCTGTCCTATGAAGGTGATTATTATGAGCTTAACTCAAACCTGCAATTTCAGAATCATCACCAAGAATCTGGCTCTCATCAGCATTAGGATTCTGTACCTCGTAGCAATTACGATCATTAAGATGCCATGCTTGTTATATCTCTATAATCATTAAATGTGCTGTCTGAATTAATAGAATGTGGTCATCTTCATTTGGTTGTCATTTCACTGTTTCCTGTGGTTTTTTTTTTTTCGAAACATAAGAAGAAACTAATATTACATTAAGTAACGACAATCAAACATGGACTCAAATCTGAGACCTATTACTTGTGCAATAATACACTAACTACTATAATATCTCAACAAAAATGTAACTACAGTTATCGTTATATGCAACAGCTATTTACGTTTTTGTGTGGAATATCTAGACTTACGACTTTTTTTAACAAGTTGTACTGGAATCACTACATGCATGTATAACTTTTTATATTTCCAGTTTCCGAATGTTCAGCAATGAGGATGTCACTATAGGATCCTGGATGCTTGCAATGAATGTCAACCACGAGAACATCCATGCCCTCTGCGAACCTGACTGCACTTCATCATCAATTGCCGTTTGGGACATTCCAAAGTGCTCAGGTTTGTTTCAATGAAAAGCATTGCTGGTTTTTCCTTAGATTGATGAAGTGATACCTTTTGGTGGACTATGGTAGGAACCAGTATGCATGCCTGATTGATTGTCCCTCACAAGTAGCTTTGTCGTCGTAAGATCCTTGGAATCTTGCATTAGTTTCATGTTAGGCAAGTTTAGAAGATAATTACCTCAATGGATAAAGCTTAACTGGTGCATATTGGGAAACTTCATTTTGTAAATTTGATGGCCAGTCTGATTCTTCTTGAGAACATAAATTTATTTCTTTACTATATTAGAGCCATGAGGCTAATTCAAGACATGGATAGGAAGGCGAATATCATTGACAAAGGTTTCCTTTACGAGTCATCCAATTGGTGAATTGAAGGTTAATTAAAGGACAAGGAAAATATAATTTCTCTGGGAGTGAAAACAAACTGTGATCCTCATGATACCTGCTAGCATTTCCCTTTATGAACCAGTAGTATAGGACATAGCCAATTGTCTATCAATCATGTCATAGTTTCCTTTAGGTGGATGTGGAGACTTCTTAACTTCAATCATGTTAGATGTTGCTTTCACATGTTCTTGAATTTTCAACAATTACATTCATATGTTTTTGCATCGCCATGAGGACACTATAATCCATCAGCCCATGAAATAACCTACAGCATTTACGATCAAGAGCTATTTCAGATCACTTAAGTGTGTTCTTATGATCCTTCCAGGTCTCTGTCACCCAGAAGTGAAGATGTTAGAGCTCCATAAAAGGGAGATATGTTCTGGCGGTTCGACATCCTCAGATAGATGACAAGTAATGCTCATCTATTTGAGAGTACGATGGAGCACCTCCATCTCAAATTGGTGCTGCACGAAAAAACCAATATCGTCAACCTTGCAAGGAGAACAACGACACCTTAACGATGCCTTTTGTTGTTTTGTACAATTTGATTTGAGATACACCTCCATCATCAGTCATTGTCTGTTGACCTCCCAATTAGTCTCCATTATGAGTTCGAGTTCTAAGAGAATAGGCAGATATGACTAATTGCAGCCACCGTCGTTGGTTACAA